GACGTTGAAGTGCTGATTTATTACAAAGATGCCCACCAGCCCACTGCTGTGGTGGAGGCAGGACAGGCCTCTGCCAAGACTGGTGGGTGCAAAGAAGTCAAGTTGTTTGAGTTACATATAAAAGTTTTATCATCTTTGATCCTAAACTGATGTTTTGAATGATGATGAATCATTTCTTCATCCCTTCATATTTCAGGCTCTCTGATGGGTGATCCAGTGGTGATGGTGAGCCTGTACCCAGAGTTCCCCCAGTCTGTGATGTCCTCACTCGCCTCATGTGGAGAGTTTGTGTTCTTGATGGATCGATCTGGGAGTATGGAGTGTCCTATTAATAACAACAAGCCACAGGAAACTCGGATTAGCAGRGCAAGGGTATTTATCTGAGTCMTACCCGTATAATGAAAACCTTCATGTCTCTCAGACGGTGGTCTTGATGCTTTCCTTGTCTTCTTTAGGACACTCTGCTGCTCCTGTTGAAGAGTTTACCAATGGGCTGCTACTTCAACATCTACAGTTTTGGGTCCACTTTTGAACACATCTTCCCGTAAGAGACTTTGTCTGCACAGACACATACATGTTTAGACTTTATGGTTCATTTAATTACATGTTTCCTGAGACTTGACAGTGTTTTTTGAGACCTCAGGATTTCCTAATTTGTACATTGTACATATGTTTTTATTGATATGAGCCGACGTTGACGACATCAAAATTATTGTGAAGTTCTAGATAAATTTGAAGCATAACACTAAACCTTCGGCTGTTTTATGTTGATGGTTTTCTGTGATTATTTAAATGTAAATCTTCCTTTTATTTCAGTACTGTTTTGATGAATACTTAGTTATGTTCCTTTTTTAAAGATGGTTTTATAAGTGTGTATTTACACTAAATTTTCACCTTTCCTAATCACCTGGTGTTTATGATGACAGTAAGAGTGTTGAGTACAGTGAGAAGWCCATGGAGGAGGCTGTAAAGAAAGTTGAGGGGATGGACGCTAATCTGGGAGGAACAGAGATTCTTCGGCCTCTCGAACACATTTACAGCCAGCCCTGTGTTCCCAAACAGCCGAGACAGGTAAGGAATAATAATACTTAGACTGTCAAACTTGATGCACAGTCATGAAGAAAAAGRCCTTACTTTTTCATTTCTAGGGTTTAAATATGTCTACATTAAAAGATAAAACCAGATCTAGACAAGAGAAGGAYTTTGAAAAACTGATCTTTGAACTCTGTAATCAGAAAGAAATATTCTTATCTGTCTGTATTCATTCAGCTAACCTTAACCTGCTAACTGAGGCCTGTAGAGTCTGACATGGAGATCTTGCGTTTTTTTTTTCCTTTTTATCTGAACAGCAGTCTGACCCTAAGGTGAATCTGTTGGGATGTCCACATCATAAAATAATTGTCAGCTGTGTTTCATGTTTTAAATGTTTTCAAATGCATTTGAATTCTTCCCAGGCTGATGTGCAGCAACTGTTGCTTCTCTAACAACAGTGTTGATGTTGTACACTTGATATTTTGCACACACACACACACACACACACACACACACACACACACACACACCTTTGTGTTGTGGAGCAGCAAAAATCCTGCTCCTGTATTTTATCTGCAACTGGCTGCTGCTTTATCTTTAAAGGGGGTATTATGCAAAATAAATTTTTTAAGATTTATATCATGCTATAATGTCATTTCCTCACCAGAAACATACCCAGAGTGTTGCTTTGACTCGTTCTTTCAAGTTTTAGAAATCCTTGAAGCTCCTGTGGCCATGTGGAGCTGCCTGAACGCTTGCTGGTACAAAGCACCACCTACTGTATTTACACAAAATAGAGGCCAGTTTCAGGGTGTTTAGAAATATCTTTTTGATATATACATTATTTTTATAACCACTGAATGTAACTTGTAGCCTGGCCCTTTCCTTCCTACACAGTTCCACTRAATTCTAGTTTCCCTTCTCTGCTCCGTCGGGGATTTCTCACATAGACAAGGATTTCATCTGTCTGTCTGTCCGTTTTCTGCTGCTTATCCGGGATTGGGTCGTGGGGGCAGCAGCCTAAGCAGAGAGACCCAGACTTCCCTCTCGCCAGCCACTTGGACCAGCTCGTCCGGGGGAATCCCAAGGCACTCCCAGGCCAGCCGAGAAACATAGACTCTCCAGTGTGTCCTGGGTCTTCCTCTGGGCCTCCTCCCAGTTGGACGTGCCTTGAACACCTCACCGGGGACACGTCCAGGAGGCACCCTTACCAGATGCCCAAGCCACTTCAACAGGCTCCTCTCGACATGGAGGAGAAGCGGCTGTACTCTGAGTCCCTCCCGGATGACCGAGCTTCTCACCCTATGTCTAAGGGAGAGCCCAGACACCCTGTGAAGGAAACTCATTTCGGCCGCTTGTATCCGATATCTCGTTCTTTCGGTCACTACCCAAAGTTCGTGACCATAGATGAGGGGAGGAACGTAGACCGACCGGTAAACCGAGAGCTTTGAATTCTGGCTCAGCTCCAGCCTTACCACGACAGACTGATACAGCGCCCGCATCACTACAGACGCAGCACCAATGTGCCTGTCGATCTCCCGCTACATTCTTCCCTCATTCGTGAACAAGACCCCGAGATACTTGAACTCCTCCACTTGGGGCAGGACCTCCTCCCCGACCCAGAGGAGGCACGCTACCGGTTTCTGGCTCAAGACCATGGTCTGTGATTTGGAGGCACTGATCCTCATCCCGGCCGCTTCACACTCGGCTGCGAACCGCTCCAGCATGAGCTTTAGATCACAATCTGATGAAGCCAATAGGACCACATCATCCTCAAAAAGCAGAGATGCGATCCTATGGTCATCAAAAAGGATCCCCTCAACACCTCGGCTGCGCCTAGAAATTCTGTCCATAAAAGTTATGAACAGAATCGGTGACAAAGGGCAACCTTGGCGGAGTCCCAAGTCTCACTGGAAACGTGTCCGACTTACTACCGGCAATGCGGACCAAGCTCTGGCACCGGTCATACAGGGACCTAACAGCCCGTATCAATGGGCCTGGTACTCCATACTCCTGGATTACCCCCCACAGCAGTCCCCGAGGGACACGGTCGAACGCCTTCTCCAAGTCCACAAAACAGATGTAGAGTCCCTCGACAATGGAGGAACGGGTAAGCCCCTCGACAATGGAGGAACGGAACATGGCCCACTCGGAGTCAATGTCCCCCACCTCCCCCGGAACATGTTCGAAGTTCCCCTGGTAGTGTGAGTTGAAGCTCCGTCTGACAGGAGACTCTGACAGACGTTCCCAGCAGACCCTCACTGTACGTTTGGGTCTGCCAGGTTTGACCGGCATCCTCCCCCACCAATGGAGCCAACTCACCACCAGGTAGCGGTCAGTTGACAGCTCCGCCCCTCTCTTCACCCGAGTGTCCAAAACATGCGGCCGCAGATGAGATGAAATGACAACAAAGTCGATCATCGAACTGCGGCCTAGGGTGTCCTGGTGCCAAGAGCACATGTGGACACCCTTATGTTAGACAAGAATTTCTTCTGAAGAATTTTACCTGGGCCAATCAGAAAGAGTTTTGAACGACAACATTGATTTTCTTCTTGTAGTTTAGAAATCACAGTGGAGGAAGTGAATGAAGCCAGTCTGTGTTGACAAGACTTCAAAACTAAATTAAATTTGTCCAAACTAAATT